CTCTTTAAATATATAGAAATCTTTTACTTGCTCTCATAAGCAAAGTGAGCTTTATATAGGCTACGACTGAACACATACATATTTCTTTGTTGGGAGTCAATTTGTGCCACCGGAATAGAGCAATGTTTTATGTGTCACTCGCCAAGCCAAGGTCATTCAAGGTAGTTGGAATAAAGGTTTGTGTTTTGTTGACCTTGAATAGGTTATCAAGCATCGTCGTTCTGAACCTGGTCGAATGCATATTGGTATATGAATATTTAAATGTAAAACATAGTAAAATACATGGCTAGAAATAAACCATTTTACTCATATGTCATTATGTTAATATGAGTGTATGAGTGCGTGCGTGTGTGTGTGTGTATATATATATATAGATATGTGTGTATGTATGTATACTAATGATAATGATAATGATCTTGATAATAATGATAATTTGTAATGGAATAATGATGATAATGATGATAATAACAATGATGATAGTAATGATATCAAAATTAAGGAGGATGAAAACAGCAGTGATGATAATGATGGTACTTATAAGGATGATGATAAAAATAATGATAATGATAGCCATAATGATAATAATAATGATTAAAAATTATAATAATCATGGTAATAAAAATGATGATAATTATGATAATAACAATGATAGAAATAATAATGATAACAAAAATGTGATATTGATACTACTACTACTACTATCAACTGTAATGACAATGATAATGTTGATGATAATGATAATAATCATAATTGCATTTTTTAAAATTTATAATGGACTAGTATAATGATGATGATAACGTTAATAGTAATTATAATCATGATGATAATAATGATAATGATAATGATAATAATAATGATATTTATTAAGTAGTAATTATATTAATAATATATTAGTATAGTCATAATGATAATAATAATAATAATATATTAGTGTTAGTGATAATGATAATAATAGTGATAATGATAATGATGATAATAATGATAATGATAAAATAATAATGTGCATGATAATGATAATAATAATAATGATGATTATGATAATGACAATTATGATAACATTATGATCATAATGATGGTAATAGAAATTATAGTAATAACAATTGTAACGATATTGACGAAAATGATGGCTACTTATCTATTGTCCTCTTTTTTAAAACTTTTTTTACTCCTTTTAAATTTCGTTCATTTTGCCCCCTTTACCGATGACGAAAGAACCTCATTTGTACGACTTTCGATTTGACTCATTCTCCTTTCTTTTCATTCCTTCTTCCACATTCCATATATCTTCGGTTCTACTTTATCCTTCTCGTTATCAGTTCTATCAAGTTCCATCTATTTTATTTTATTTTTACTTTCGCCAATAAGGAGACCAAAGATTCTCATTTGACGCCGACGGTTTGTTTACATGGCAGAGCGCGCGAAAGACTGTGAAGGAAAAAGGACACAAAACTTACGTCTTTTTCTTCTTTCCTGTGTTTTAAGGTATTGTGGCCTTTTATAGAAGCCAATTGATGTAGATTAATCTGCTTTGAAGTGGATGCCGTGTACCGTTTGTTAAATTAAGGTTATTTGGGTTGGATATTGGAAAATATTTCGTGATTCTTCTCCGTCGACTTTTTCAACTCGTGTCACTCGGAATGTGTTTTATGATAATTCAGAAGGGAAGGTGAATTACATTATCAGGGGATGCTAAATTAAGATAAGAGTGGTCGATTTCTCTAAAGTTATTATCTCGAGTCTGTACAAAACGACTTGAAACTATTGGATTGCTTACCCGGTATAAATTTGTTTTTCTTCGGCCAAGTCTACCAAATCCCCGCAATGGCTCTCTAAATAAGTATTTTTTGTAGTTGAAATGGCTTTGTTCAGTCCACATCCAATGGAAAATATGCCTGAATTTGTTGATGGATGGACTTTCAGCCTGAAGTCCCAACGAATTCACAGTACATTGATACTTGACACAGTATTTATTGTCGCAACACCTTTTAGCAATATGGAAAGGGCCAGTAGAACTCCAGTATATGGTATTATTGGAAAAAGTGTCACCATAGAGTCGAGCAAAACTAACCTTACAGCCTTGAAGATATTTGATTAATGATCACTTTTCATTAAATAAACTTCTTTCGCAAATTAGTGATATCGAAGTTATTTAATTCATGTCTGCATTAGATAATATAGTGACTTAATCGTACGGTACCCATGATTACAGCAGAGAACGAGAATTCCATAGTGCACATGCATGATATCAAGAGTGGCGCGACTCTGGTATGGAAAAGATATTCTAGTCATTTCCAATGGAAACGACAACTACCAGAATCAACCAAACCAAAACAAAAAGATATCAAATTAATAAAATCTGGTTTCGTCCCAAGAAGAAGCGCGTTGGTGACGTCTTTTTTCAAATTTACCTAGTATAGGCTTACATGATATCAAAACACCCTACTAACCCTATCTTTACCTTCTGTTGTTCACAGTTTCCGAAGCACGGAGGCGAGCCCCCTGTACCCCCTTTTATGAGCACTTCATGCCAACTTATAGAACAGTTATTAAAATCTGTCTGTGTGAGGATGTTGTGGACAAAGTCACTGATCGTTGATATACAGCAATTTTCATAATTTATCTTTTTCTTCTCTACCCCTCCGCGTGTCGCTCTTGGTAGCCTATACCAAACATACTAATAGGGAGGGAGGTCCGTAAAATCTGTGCCACTAGAATCTACTTCGTTGAAGTTTGTAGCCTTTACCAGGATATTGATAGATTTAGTGGTCATTTCCTTTGATATTTACTTGTGTTAAACGATAGTGGTGAGGTGACATTGAAGAATGATGAGGTACTCTGAAATGTAAAGACAGATAAGAAAAAAGTTGATGGTTGGTAATTAAGTTGACATTTTTTATCAAGGCAGTTTTACAGAATAGTTCCGCTCTAATAGATCAGAACGATTCTGGTATTGGAGGATTCCTCTATATTTGGATGGTAGAGAGTGAGAAGAATCCATCGATGCCAAAATCGTTGCGTTCCTTAAGATGGAAAACTGTTCTGTAAAAATACCTTTGTTTAGAATGTATAGTACCTCTAAAATGATATTTTTTTGACACAGCTTAATTTCACATGATTTTTATATTGTTTTACCCTACAGGAATTTGTACTTGAATGAAAAAATTCAGTCATGCCATTCTTCATGAAAAACCTTCTTGACTTATTACTTTCAAATTTACAGTGATTAGTGCACCGGCGGCCATGCATGCTTTCTTGAAGACTGGTAAACTTGCTGGCAATGGAGCGTGGGCGAGCAGATTTTATGCAGGCATGGTAAGACTAGGGGCCATAGGCAAAGAAGTATGGAAGAAAGTATCAACATCATATATACAAGAATATATATAAATTCAAGTACACTAATAATACACTGCTATAAGTGTAGTTGTTACAAAGAAATAAAGAGTAGCCAGTCACTCATCAGTTCTATCTTATTCCCGCGTATTCTTTTTACTTATCTGATCTGCGATAACTGCCGGAAAAAAATAAAAAAAAGACGAAAAAAAAAAAAAACAAAGAAAAATAAAAAAAAGAAAAAAAATAAAAAAAAAGACTAACCGGGTCCCTCCCTCTCCTGGCTTTGGGTGAAAATATGTAGTCAGAACTGTTACATGTCTTATCAGCGTTTGAGTTGATTAGAACTCTCTTTCTCGGTCCTCAGTCTCTCGCTCCTGTCTGTTTCTTTGGCTTTCTTTTTTTGTCCCTCTCTCTGTGTCCTGTCCTCTGTCCTCTCTCTTCGTCTGCCCCTTCGCTGCTCTCTCATCCCTCTCTCTCCTCTCCTCTCTACCTCTCTCGTCTCTCTCTCTCTATCTTCTCTCTCTCTCTCTTCCTTCTCTCTCTCTCTCTTCCTCTCTCTCCTCTCCTCGTGTCTCTCATCACTACCCTCCCCTTCTCCGCTCCCTCTCCATCTCTTCCCTCTCTCCCCTCCCATTCTTCCCGTCATCCCGCTGCTTCTTATCCCTCTCCCCTCTCCCCTCCTCTCCTATCCTCCCTATCTACCCCTCCCTCTCCTCTTTTCCCTCCTCTCCCTCTCTCCCCCATCGTCCCTCTCCCTCTTCTCCCTCTCGTACTCCCTCCTCACCTCTCGCCTTGCCTTCCCCCTCTCCCCCTCTCCCTCACTCCCTCTCCCTCTCCCTCCCCTTCCCCCTCTCTCCTCCCTCTCCCTCTTCCCTCTCCCTCTCCCCTCTCCCTCTCCCCTCCCTCTCCCTCTCTCCCCTCTCTCTCTCTTCTTCTCTCTCTCCTCTTCTCTCTCTCTCTCTCTTCTCTCTCTCTCTCTCTCTTCTCTCCTCTCTCCCATCTCTCTCTCTCTCTCTCTCTCTCCTCTCCCTCTCTCTTCTCTCTCTCTCTCTCTCTCTCTCTCTCTTCTCTCTCTCTCTCTCTCTCTCTTCCTCCTCTCTCTCTCTCTCTCTTCTCCTCTCTCCCTCTCTCTCCCCTCTCGTCTCTCCCTCTCTCTCTCTTCTCTCTCTCCCTCTCCTCTTCTCTCTCTCCCTCTCTCCTCTCTCTCTCTCTCTCTCTCCTCTCTCCCTCTCTCCCTCTCTTCTCTCTCTCTCTCTCTCTCTCTCTCCTCTCTCTCTCTCTCTCTCTCTCTCTCTCTTCTCTCTCTCTCTCCTCTCTCTCTCTCTCTCGTCTCTCTCTCTCTCTCTCTTCTCTCTCTCTCTCTCTCTCTCCTCTCTCTCCTCTCTCTCTCTCTCTCTCTTCTCTCTCTCTCTCTCTCTCTCTCTCTCTCTCTCTCTCTCTCTCTCTCTCTCTCTCTTCGTCTCTCTCTCTTCTTCCTCTTCTCTTCCTTTCCTGCTCCCCTGCCTCCCTCTCCCTTCTCCCTCTCCCCTCTCCCTCTCCCTCCCTCCCTTCCCTCCTCCCTCCTCCTCCTCCCTCCTTCCCTCTCCCCAGTTTATGAATGAGTTTTAGCATAGACAGATTTTTATTTTGTTTTACCTATGAATATGACTATATCTTTATAAACAAAATCTGCAATATCTTTTCAGTCGACCAAAAACAGTAGAAGAAGTTGCTTATCAAGATGAGGTTGTATCTGTCCTGAAAAGCACCTTGCAAGGAGCTGATGTAAGTTTTGAGTCCGCAAGATACGGTGTATGTGAAATAAGGGTGCTAGTGTGTATATGTGTGAGATGCGTATGTGCTTAATGCTTAATTATTTATGTATGTACATGCATGCTTGTGTGTGAACGTATATGCTTGCTTGTTTGCACGAACGCATATTTATGTGAATGAATATAGATTTTTTTATATAAATAAATAAGTATTATGATATAAATGTGTCTATATATCATTGTATGTATTTTTGAGATATATCATATTAAAGACCTGCTTGCTTTATTTTTTCAGCTGCCAAATTTGTTATTTTATGGTCCACCAGGTACAGGTAAAACTTCAACAATCTTAGCCGCTTCCAGACAATTGTTTGGTGATCTATTCCGACAAAGGTAAGCAACAACCATTTTTGAATTTTCGTATTTCAAGAGTCAGATATTTATATTCGTCATAGATATTAATAGATTTTGCATATTTCCATCATTTCTTCTCCTTCCTTTCTTTTTCTTCCTTTTTTTCTTTTTTTCTGTATTCTTGGCAAATATTCTGACAATTTTTTTTTTCCTTCAGAGTATTGGAGCTTAATGCTTCGGACGAGAGAGGCATTCAGGTTATCAGAGAGAAGGTAAAGACCTTTGCCCAGACCACAGTATCAAGCACAAGACCCGAGTAAGTATAAGGCTGTATATTTGGCCTCGGCTTTTTCATTTTCATGATATTGCAGCGTATTAGTATTGCTTGACTTCTTATTTGCTTAGTTATTGTGAGTTTGTTAACGACAAAAAAAGGAATTCAGGTACAGGATTACCTCTCCGCAGTGGGCAGTATAATGAATTACATTAATGGCAGTGAGCATGGCTGACCTGATAGAGTTGAGTTTTCCTTTACGTCATTTACCTTCCCCTAACAATCCTTGCTTAATATATACCTGAGGACTAAGTTTGTTGACTGCATTGAGTAAAGAAGGTAAACAAAATAGCAACCTCAGACCTCTTATGGTTCTTTATGTATATTTGGAAGCTCAGTTCCAGCTAATATTTTTATTCTTTACCATTGCTAATTATTTTTATGTAAAAACAAGTTTTCTCAGGTTTTGAATTTGTTGAAAATATAACTGCCTGTGAGGGTTGCACAATCCCTCATATCTCACTGTGCAACCTGGTTATTTTGTTGGAAATCTTAGTTGTTCACTTTCCAAGAAACTTGCTTATCTTGTAACTGTCTACTTCCTTATATGACCAGAAAAGGAAATTGTAAATGCTCAAATGTCAAATGATATGATTTGGAATGGTTCAAAATGTCCTCATGAAGTCGGATTAATCTGAGTGTCCGATGATACTCATAATAATTTCTTTACATTTGCAGTGGCAAGCCTTGTCCTGCTTTCAAGATCATTATCCTAGACGAGGCCGACTCAATGACAAACGCGGCTCAAGCGGCACTCAGGCGGACAATGGAAAAGCAGTCTAAGACCACGAGATTCTGTCTTATCTGTAATTATGTATCACGTATTATTGAGCCTCTGACATCCAGGTGCTCCAAGTTTCGATTTAAGCCGCTTGGTGAGTAATTGTGTTGGTTTGGATTGTAAATTGTGTGGGAGGGGTATGTTTGAAAAAATCTGAATTCAAAGGTACTGATAGGATAGAAATTTTGTCTGTGTAATGTGTGTGACTTGTGTAGTAGATTATTTAAAAAATTGTATCCCATTTTCTTATTATTAGTCCTCTTCTTCTTCTTCTTCTTCTTCCTTCTTCTTCTTCCTTCTTCTTTTTCTTCTTCTTCTTCTTCTTCTTCTTCTTCTTCTTCTTCTTCTTCTTCTTCTTCTTCTTCTTCTTCTTCTTCTTCTTCTTCTTCTTTCTTCTCCTCCTCCTCCTCCTCCTCCTCTTCTTCTTCTCCCCTTCTTTCTTCTTTCTCCTCCTTCTTCTTCTCTTCTCCTCCTTCTTCTTCTTCTCCTCCTTCTTCTCTTCTTCTTCTTCTTCTTCTTCTTCTCCTCTTCTTCTTCTCCTCTCCTCTTCTTCTTCTCCTTCTTCTCCTTTCTCCCTCCTTCTTCTCCTCTCCCTTCCTTCTTCTTCCTTCTCCTCCTTCTTCCTCCTTCTCCCTCCTTCTTCTCCTTCTCCCTCCTTCTTCTCCTTCTCTCCTTCTTCTCCTCTTCCCTCCTTCTTCTCCTTCTTCTCCTTCTTCCCCCTTCTCTCCTTCTTCTCTTCTCCCTCCTTCTTCTCCTTCTCCCTCCTTCTTCTCTTCTCCCTCCCTTCTTTCTCCTTCTCCCTCCTTCTTTCTCCTTCTCCCTCCTTCTTCTCCTCTCCCTCCTTCCTCTTCCCCTCCTTCTCTCCTTCTCCCTCCCTTCTCTTCTCCCTCCTTCTTCCTCTCCCTCCTCCTTCTCCTCTCGCCTCCTTTTCTCTCCTTCTCCCCCTCCTTCTCCTCTCCCTCTCCTTCTCCTTCTCCCTCCTTCTTCTCCTTCTCCCTCCTTCTCTCCTCTCCCTCCTTCTTCTCCTTCTCCCCCTTCTTCTCCTTCTCCCCTCCTTCTTCCTCTTCTCCCTCCCTCCTTCTCCTTCTCCCCTCCTTCTTCTCCTTTCCCTCCTCTTCTCCTTCTCCCTCCTTCTTCTCCTTTCTCCCTCCTTCTTCTCCCTTCTCCTTCTTCTCTCCCTCTCCCTCTCTTCTTTCTCCTTCTCCTCCCTTCTCCTTTCCCTCCCTTCTCCCCTCCTTCTTCTCCTTCTCCCTCCTCCTTCTCCTCTCTCCTCCTCCTCCCTCCTCCTTCTTCTCCTCTCCCTCCTCTCCTTCTCCTTCTCCCTCTCCTTCTCCTTTTCTCTCCTCCCCTTCCCTCCTCTTCTCCTTCTCCCTCCTCCTTCTCCTTCTCCCTCCTCCTTCTCCTTCTCCCTCCTTCTCCTCCTTCTTCTTCTTTTTCTCTTTTTCTTCTTTTTCTTCTTTTCTTTTCTTCTCCTTTCTCTCCTTCTCCTTCTCCTCTACTTCTCCTTCTCCTTCTCCTCTCCTTCTTCTCCTTCTCTTCTTTCTCCTTCTTCTCCTTTCCTTCTCCTTCTCCTTCTCCTTCTCCTTTCTCCTTCTCCCTTCTCCTTCTTCCGTTCTTTCTTCTCCTTCTCCTTCTCCTTCTCCTTCTCCTTCTTCTCCTTCTCCTTCTCTTCTCCTTCTCCTTCTCCTTCTCCTTCTCCTCCTTCTCCTCCTCCTCCTCCTCCCTCCTCCTCCTCCTCCTCCCTCCTCCTCCTTTCTCCTTCTCCTCCAAGTCCTTGTGTGCTGCTTAGTTCAAGTCGGCTCAGCTTGCCAAGTACTGGTCTTATATTTAAGAGGGGAGAGTGATCAGGACTAACTATTCCTGGCAAACAAAGAGGAGGGAGCCTGTATAAAACCTTCTATTATTGAGTCCCTCATTATCAACATCAGTAGCACTGCCAAACCCAAAAGGTCATAACCGACTCGCATTTGTAAAGAAGTATCACTGAAGAGAAGGCTTATTCACGATCACTTATAAAAAATAGAGATAGGAAAAGATGAGTGTTGGTTTTTTGGAATTGTAAATTTTGAGGGGTATGTTTAAAAAATCTGAATTCAAAGGTACTGATAGGATAGAAATTTGGTCTGTTAATTGTGTGACTTGTGTAGTAGATTATTTTAAAAAATGTATCCCATTTCTTATTTATTAGTCCTCTTCTTCTTCCTTCTTCTTCTTCCTCTTCTTCTTCCTTCTTCTTCTTCTCTTTTTTCTTCTTCTTCTTCTTCTTTCTTCTTCTTCTTTTCTTCTTCTTCTTCTTCTTCTTCTCTCCTCCTCCTCCTCTCCTTCCATCCTCCTTCTTCTCCTCTTCTCTTCTTCTTCTCCTCCTTCTTTCTTCTTCCCTCCTCTTCTTCTTCTCTCCTCCTTCTTCTTCTTCTTCCCTCTCTCTTCTTCTTCTCCTCCTTCTTCTCTCCTCTCCCTTCCCTCCTTCTTCTCCTTCTCCCTCCTTGCTTCTTCTTCTTCCTTCCTTCTTCTCCTCTCTCCCTCTTCTTCTCTTCTTCTCCCTCTTCTTCTCCTTCTCTCTTCTTCTCCTTCTTCTCTTCTCCTCCTTATTCCCTTCTTTCTCTTCTCCCCTCCTTCTTCTCCTCTCCTCCTCCTCCTTCTCCCTCCTTCTTCTCCTTCTCCCCCTTCTTCTCCTCTTCTTCTTCTCGCTTCTCCCTCCTCTTCTCCTTCTCCCTCCTTCTCTCTTCTCCTCCTTCTTCTCCTTCTTCCCTCTCCTTCTCCCTCCTCTTCTTCTTCTCTTCCCCTCCTCCTCTTTCCTTCCTTCTTCTCCTCCTCTTCTTTTCTCCCTCCTCCTTCTCCTCTTCCTCCCTTCTCCTTCTCCTTCTTCTCCTTCTCCCTCCTTCTTCTCCTTCTCCCTCCTTCTTCTCCTTCTCCTCCTCTTTTCTCCTTCTCCCTCCTTCTTCTCCTTCTCCCTCCTTCTTCCTCCTTCCTCTTTCTCCTTCCCTCCTTCCTTCTCCTTCTCCTTCTTTCTTCTCCTTCTCCCTCCTTCTTCTCCTTCTCCTTCCTTCCCTCTTTCCCTCCTTTTCTTCTCCTCTCCCTCCTCCTCTCTTCTCCTTCTCCCTCCTTCTCTCCTCCTTCTCCTCCCTCCTTCTCCCTTCTCCCTCTCCCTCCTTCTTCTCCTTCTCCCTCTCCCTCCTTCTTCTTCCTTCTCCCTTCTCCTTCTCCTTCTCCCCTCCTTCTCCTCCTTCTCCCTTCTTCTCCTCCTTCTTCTTCTTTTTTCTTCGTTTTTCTTCTTTTTCTTCTTCTCCTCTTCTCCTTCTCCTCTCTCCTTCTCCCTTCTCCTTCTCCTTCTCCTTCTTCTCCTCTCCTTCTCCTTCGCCTTCTCCTTCTCCTTCCCTCTTCTCCTTCTCACTTCTCCTTCTTCCTTTCTCCTTCTCCTTCTTCTCCTTCTCCTTCTTCTCCTTCTCCTTCTCCTTTTCTCCTTCTCCTTCTCCTTCTCCTTTCTCCTTCTCCTTTCTCCTTCTCCTCTCCCTTCTCCCTTCTCCTTCTCCTCCTCTCCTCCTCCTCCTCCCTCCTCCCCTCCTCCTTCTCCTTCCCTCCAAGTCCTTGTGTGCTTCTTAGTTTCAAGTCGGCTAAGCTGCCCAATTACTGGCGTCTTATATTTAAGAGTTGGAGAGAGTTGCATCAGACTAACTATTCCTGGCAAACAAGAGGATGGGGCATGCCTGTATAAAACCCTTCTATATTGAGTCCCTCATTATCACCATCAGTTAGCACTGCCAAACCCAAAAGGGTCATACCGACTCTGCATTTGTAAAGGAAAGATTCACTGAAGAGGAAGGCTTATTCACGATCACTTATAAGAAAATAGAGATAGAAAAGACCCTTGAGTGTTGGTTTGGATTGTAAAATTGTGTGGGAGGGGTATGTTTGAAAAAATCTGAATTCAAAGGTACTGATAGGATAGAAATTGGTATCTGTTGTAAGGTGTTGTGACTTGTGTAGTAGATTATTTAAAAAATGTATCCCATTTTCTTCTTCTTCTCTTCTTCTTCTTCTTCTTCTTCTCTTCTTCTTCTTCTTCTTTCTCTTCCCTCTCCCCTCTCCTCCCCTTCTTCTTCTTCTCCCCTCTTCTTCTCTTCTTCTTCTGTCTTCTTCTTCTCTCTTCTTTCCTTCTTCTTCCCTTCTCCTCCTTCTGTCTTCTCTTCTTCGCTTCTTCTCCTCTCCCTCCTTCTTCTCCTTCACCCTCCTTCTTCTCCTTCTCCCTCTCTTCTCCTTCCCCCTTCCTTCTTCCTCTCCTTCCCTCCTTTCTTCTCCTTCTCCCGTCCTTCTACCTCCTTCTTCTCCCTCCTTCTTCTCCTTCTCCCTCCTTCTTCTCCCTTCTCCCTCCTTCTTCTCCTTCTCCCTCCTTCTTCTCCTTCCTCTCCTTCTCCCTCCTCTTCTCCTTCTCCCTCCTTCTCCTTCTCCCTCCTTCTTCTCCTTCTCCTTCTCCCTCCTTCTTCTCCTTCTCCTTCTCCCTCCTTCTTCTCCTTCTCCCCTCCTTCTTCTCCCTTCTCCTTCTCCCTCCTTCTCCTTCTCCCTCCTTCTTCTCCTTCTCCCTTCTTCTCTTTCTCCTTCTCCCTCTTCTTCTCCTTCTTCTCCCTCTTCTTCTCCTCCTTCTCCCTCTTCTTCTCCTTCTCCCTCCTTTCTTCTCCTTCTCTCTCCCCTTCCTCTTCTTCTCTTCTCCCTCCTTCTTCTCCTCTCTCCCTCCTTCTTCTCCTTCTCCCTCCTTCTTCTCCTTTCCTTCTTCTTCTCTTCCCCTCCTTCTTCTCCTTCTCCCTCCTCCTCTCCTTCTCCCTCCCTCTTCTCCTTCTCTCCTCCTCCTTCTCCTTCTCCTTCTCCCTCCTTCTTCTCCTCCCTCTTCCCTCCTTCTTCTCCTTCTCTCTCCCTCCTTCTCTCCTTCTCCCTCTCTCCTTCTCCTTCTCCTTCTTCTCTCCTTTCTCCTCCCTCTTCTCCTTCTCCCTCCTTCTCCTCCTTTCTCCCTCCTTCTCCTCCTTTTCTTCTTCTTTTCTTCTTTTCTCCTTCTCTCTCCTTCTCCTTCTTCCTCTTTCTCCTTCTTTCCCTTCTCCTTTCTCTTCTCCTTCTCCTTCTCCCTCTCCTTCTTCTCCTTCTCTTCGCCTTCTCCTTCCCTTCCCTTCCCCCCTTCTCCTTCTCCCTCCCTTCTCTTTCTCCTTCTCCTTCTTCTCCTTCTCCTTTCTCCTTCTCCTTCTCCTTTCTTCTCCTTCTCCTTCTCCTTCTCTCTCCTTCTCCTTCTCCTTCTCCTTCTCCTTCTCCTTTCTCTTCTCTCCTTCCTCCTCCTCTCCTCCTCCTCATCTCCTCCCTCCTCTCCTTCCTTCGTCCTCCAAGCCTTGTGTCTTTAGTTCAAGTCGGCTAAGCTGCCCAAGTACTGGTCTTATATTTAAGAGTTGGGAGAGTGATCAGGACTAACTATTCCTGGCAAACAAGGGGAGGGGATGGCCTGTATAAAACCCTTCTATTATTGAGTCCCTCATTATCAACATCAGTAGCACTGCCAAACCCAAAAGGTCATAACCTGACTCTGCATTTGTAAAGGAAGATCACTGAAGAGAAGGCTTATTCACGATCACTTATAAGAAAATAGAGATAGGAAAAGATTGAGTATCTTTGTGTTGACATGGTTTGTTGACTTTTCTTTTCTTTTTCCTAATTTTTATTTGATTTTTTTTCTTCTTTTTTTTAAGTAAGATAGGTCTGTTATATTTGTAAGACAACCTTTTTATTTCACTTTATTTAATTTCTTCTCTTTTTTTCTCTCTCTCTCAGCACAAGGCATCCTACTTAAAAGGCTTACCTTTATCTGTGAAGAGGAGAATGTTAAGTATGAAGATTCTGTTCTGGAAACCTTGATTGACACAAGTGAAGGTGATTTACGAAGAGCCATTACCACGCTCCAGTCAGCTGCAAGATTGAGGCCAGGCGAACAGATATCTAAAGAAGATATCTTTGAAATCACAGGTAATTTGTCTGTGATTATTGATTTTTATTTCATCCCAAGGAAGCGGATATTCTCTTGTGCTACATTATGACATATGAGTAGAAAGTTAATATCACCAAGATTTTTTGAAACTTTTATGCTATGTATCTAAATATTTTTATGTTTTATATGTCTTTAGAAGTAATATAAGCAGGCCTTGTGCTTTTTTTTTTTTTTGTAAGCTAGCTTGCTGGGCTAATAAATAGAGGTTTTTGCTAGCCCCAGGCAAGTTTTCCCAGCCCAAATAGTGAATTTAACGCAGGATTAATCAAACATTGGCTCATTGAGTTAGATTAAGAGATCATCAATGAATTTATTGTAACTTCTTACTCTAAAAAGTCCCAGGTTGACTTTTTGCTTGGGTGGAACCTTTTTAATCATCTGTGACTGTCTACTTTTTACTAGTCCGCCAGACTAGCTGAGTAGTGAATTTTACCAACCCACGGCTGGTTTTGCTAGACAATGATCATCGGTCTAGTGCTAAGGTCAAGCCCTGTATAAGATTATAATTTTTTGTTGTGTATTCACTTTTTCCAGGAGTTGTTCCGGACAAGTGGCTTACCGAGTTGATGGAAGTATGTGCAACAAACTCATATGAGAAGCTGAGTGACTTTGTAAACCTCATGATGGCCGAGGGGTATTCAGCTACACAAGTGAGATGGCAGAATATTGCATTTGTCTAGATAGCTTGAGCTCTAGGCGATATTTCTTCTGGTCCTTTTCCGCACTCTCTTTTCTCATTGATTCTTTTTTTTTTTTTTTGTAATCTAATTAGTTTTGTTTTATTTTGCTTTTACTGTTCTTTCCAGATGTGATTATGGTAGAACTAATCTTGATTTTTATTATTATTATGATTATGATGATAAAAGAAACTTAAGTATTGTTGGCATTCACTCTGAAAATGAAGTACATTCATGTTTGATAATTTCACTGTATGGTTTATATTTAATTGCTATTATTGATGAATATTTACCGAGATTCTTATTACAGATACTCAACCAAATACATGATGTCATAATGACGAACAACCAGCTGAGTGACATCCAGAAGGCTGCAGTATATGAGAGGCTAGCTGTAAGTTAAGCCGCTGTTTGTTTGATTATGTTATGTGATTTGGTTAACCAAATGAAGTCAAGTGGTATCTTTTCTCGTCACGAAGCGCTGACCCCATATGCCATGTGTGGTGAAGCGTGCTCTAACATGCATGTGCTTACATCATTCGCTTGCTTGCCCCTTACACGATTATTGAAGATACACAGCCTCTTTTCAAATTGTATTCGGCACAAACAGTTGGGAAAACACACCTCCGTGCTTCTTAATTTTTCCCCCCTAGTAGCTAACTACACATAGCACCTCTGGCAAAACTGTCTGGTGTAGGTAAAACTATTGGTATAGGATTGAGAGTCCAACATAATGATAAAGCAAGAGAAAAGGGTTTGGTATAATTGAGGTTCCAGTACCATGTCAAAAGTGTATTTATTTGCTAGGATCTCTCTTCATGCTCCATGAATACCTCATTTTGGCAAATTAGGGGGCTTTTTCGTTTTCATGAACATTTTGCAACATGTAAACTGTTATACTTCAAAACAGATCTCCTAGAGTTACTTTGTTTTTATTTTTATTTGTATACTTATTTATATTTATACAGTTTATTTAGGGCTGACTTTTGAAATTAGGGTCCGTGAAGTCAACAAAAATCTAAAAATAAGAAAAAAGAAAAAGAAAAAACATTACAAAGATAATTAAGAAGAAACAATGTTTTTATGGTTATTATAAAACTAAGGTAAAAAATTAACTTCCAGATGTGCGACCATCGACTCATTGACGGCGGAGATGAATACCTGCAAGTGATGGACCTGTCTTGCACGGTTATGAAGCAAATGGGCAACTGAGGCATCTGTCGACAATTTAGTTATCTAGCATTTGTTCTTCAGTTATGAATATGTGATAGCATTTCAGTTGAATATTCAGTTTAATCTTTCATTAGTCTTTATACCATATCATTTGGTAATAATTGATATATTTTGAATTTATTTTTTTTGTAATCTATTTTCCATTAAACAGTTTTTGTTAGATGTACTGCAGACTAGAAAATCCAGTGACCAAAGCAACAATTTTAAGAAATGTGTATTGATCCAAGGGTTTGCATTACAAATAATAAAAGTTGAAAATTATTGGGCAGTTTGTAAATCCCTAATGTGATAAGGATTAAGTAATAAATTATCTATTCCAGGTTTATTTTTGTTTGGTTTATGTCATGCCATTCAAAACTACAACACAACACTTGTCTTAAATTCTATTTTCCATGCATACTAGGTTGGAATGGTCCTCTGATTGATGTCTGTCTTGGGCATTTCCACACTACAACACAACACTTGTCTTAAATTCTATTTTCCATACATACTAGGTTGGAATAGGTCCTCTGATTGTTGGTATTTCCCTCTGTCTTGGGCACTTCCCTCACATTTTCTTGGCCAACCTTTCTCTTGCTCTTACTCTCCTCTCCCAACCCACTTGCACCGGGTGTCTAACATGTGAGGCACCCGGGGCAATGCTAGATCAGACTTTCCTATAACACCCTCTAACCTTGGACATCTAACACCCATCCCCCTCTCCCTGGATTATTCTCCTACTTTCCCAACAGCCATCTCGGTTTTCCTTGAACATTGTTCCTATAGCTCCCCCAGTGACAGATACACTGTAATTCACTCAATTTCCCTACCCCCCTTAACCCTCCCCTTTCTACTAATCTCTGCTCTAGTTCACTTACTCCCCTCTTTTCCCTTTCACTACCATACTGTCCTATAACGCTCTCTAATCTTTGACATCTAACACAATTTATCCTAATCTTTAACTCCTCTTTACCCTTTCTGACACAATACTTTACCATAGTGCTATATATATAAAACCTATGATGTCTAGCACATTTATTTGTTTCAAACACTAAACATTAAATATTACCCTTTTCTGTAATTTTCAATATTTTACGGCATTTAATATTGCTGTTGGTAATGTCAATAACATGATAGTAATTAAGATGTTTATAATAAAAATATCAGTATTAATATTGATAGCAGTAGCAAACCCAAGGAAAGGCGAAATAAGATGATGTTACAAGGTCTATTAATTGACTCCTTTATAGCTAAGCACTGGCAGAACCATCTATGTGCATTGACAATTAACAACACAGTACTAAAGTGAACACAACATTGTCCTGGGGGCATTGGGTTAAGGAGTTCCATTTTCTTGCTTATAGTAGATGGAAACATTTTCTCCTTATTAAATCACATTTTCTAAATATAAGGCTGTTATCTTGCCCACTAATTCAAGCCCACACCTTAGTAGCACAAAGTTGAAGAGTGCAGACCTTGCTAAACATTATCCCTTCACCTGCTTCTACAGTTTCTCCAGCCTGTATCACATGCTTTGGACAGTGTACCCTTGCACTTCAGTGTTACTCTTTTACCACAGAAGCTGTTTTGTATGTAAACACTGCTCTTCTGCCAATTACTGCTGTTTTTGTAACACCTGTTCAATCTATCCTGTCTCTAAAATAGCAAAAACCTCAAACCACTATATAGTCTACTCATCATTCCTTTCCTTACCCATCCTCATATATCCACTCTTAATTTGCTAACACCAAATTTTCACAACACACTAGACCAGCAAAGTCAATCACCCACTGGAAGTTTCCAAGTATATCTAAACACCTTATGGACTTAACTGCAGCAGCACTTACACCTAAATAAAATTCTTTTAACTACTCTGCAAGGCTCAAGGCTTACTCTGCTTTGACCTGTTCTTCACCTACCTTTACAATCTGTTTTTCTAGTACTTACTTTCAGCTCTTCGCTCTCCACTGCCTCTTGCCGCTTTCTATGTATTCTCTCCGAACTATCTGAATCAAATTGTTACATATCACCACAGCATCACAAACACTTCTTCTACCCAACATGCTGTAATTTTTGCTGTTATTTCTCAGTCATATTAAATCTGATTAATTTATATTCAATAGGATTTAATATTTCAAACTATTGTACTTGGAAGTTACATTCCACTTATCTGTCATTACTTATGGGATCAAAGATTTCCACTACAAATCTAATTTCTTACAGTGTACTCCTTCCTATCTTAAACTCATTCTTGGTATTTATAAACATAGATATCACTATGACAAATTTATTTTAAAAATATGTTAAGAATAAACACAGCATTGCTACAATTAAAACACAGGTTAATAAAAGAAATTTACTTTATTCTATATATATATATAATAATAAAATTTGCACAATATATGTCTCAGAGTAACATAATTTCCAAGCTTAAAAAGAACAGTTTTATGATTGGAATACTAAAGCATTCGGAAAAGAAAGACAGACTGGATTAATACAGGTAGGCTTCACAAAAAGGAAAATGTAGTACATGCCTGGCAAGACTGGTTTATAGACATCATAGAAGACATGACAAAGAGCAGCAGACTCCTCAAACTTCTTTCCAGTTTACAGCAATCAACATGACTTTAGAGGTGTTTTTACGTCTCTGACACTAATAAGAACTATTCATCATAAATCATGGCAACACATCAGAAATGAATTCTCCCGACATTATATTGTTCAATACCTCTATAATTGCCTGGGCTCTGCTATTTGATAAATTACAAGGTGGGTAAGTTACTAAAACACACCTGTCCTTGCGTAAGTGTTGTGTTAATCCTTTAATTTGATGCAAGTGTCAGTAAATAGAAACAGAAACTTAAAAACAGACAGACATAGATCGAAAGAGAGAGAGAGTGAGAAAAAAAAACTTATTCTAAATGAAAGAATGAGAGGATTGGAGTCTACTGCTTGACTTCAAGATATGTAATGCCTCTCTCTTTTCCTTTACCTTACTATTTACTTATTACGATACAGACTGACTAGTTGATTGATAATTTTTCTTTTACTTTTTCTTTCTGTTTCTTTAGGAGTCTAAACACCCAAAAGATACCAATATATATAAATGATTCAATATTTCCATCCCCATTCGACTGCTGAACAGTGCAACTATATCATTGTTGTCTGCAAATGAGTTGAGAAAAAAACAGGAAACATCTGTATTCCATTAGTTAAAAGAAAATATCACTTAAATATTACTATGGCTTCTCAGTTACGTAGTTCAGAAAATTTACAGAAGAAATGACTACAATCAATCAACAATACCTAATTTCCTTTTCATGACTGTGAAGCCAGCAACTTTTTGACACAACAACAAAAAATATATATATATAACTGAAAAAAGTAAATAATAATAATAATAATAAAAAATACAATAAAAATCAAACATAAACATGAACTACAACACAGAGATTTTGAATAGTGGGATTATGACACTGGTATATGAACTATGTAAACATATTTATCAATATGAAGTTATATCTACATTATTACATATCACACCAGATTTACTATATGCATATAACATCATAATTTCATATCTAAAGCTTCAAACTGTTCAGTTTAAATCTAAAATAATGGACTGTCACAAAATACTGTCTTAAATCTATAGTTCATACACATATTAACAGAGTAGTTCAGTACAAAAATACCAATTAGAAAACGCAATATTATATGCTCAATTAGAAACTGCAGCGTACATACGTAAAATTATATACCTGCTTTATCTTCACTCTTAAATGTATAATTCAGCGATACTTCAGTATTCAAATCCTTCTAAACAAATCTTAGAATTACTCGTCAAGAAGAATATATAAATTCCTATTTGGTTGTAGTTTAATGCATATCTGAATACTTACACATATAACAAGCACAGGAAGGAGTTTGCTATCTAAGGTTCCAGCTCCCGACTTTCTCGGAGTAACGGCCATGAAATGTTTACTGCAGTGTCCGTGAACCTCAACGCTCCACGATTACAGAGACAATGAGAATAGAGTGGCTTCCTGATCACAACTGAGCTGCTTAAGTTATACAGAAAAGAAGACATAAGTGGATCATATTCTTTAAAAAGGAGAGAGAAAAAAAAAAGAAAAAAAAAAAATAATAAAAAAAATCACAACATTTACTGGACTCAAGTATTACAACCTCTTCCACACACTACAATTACTTGATCTAAACATATTTACATTCAACACCAAACTCCAAAAATTACTTAAACAAGTATTAAGATCTCTTTTTTTCTTCCTTTTTTCCCCACTATATACACTTTTTTTTTTACATCTTTACATGAAGAAAATCAACTTGATTTCATTATTTAGACAATTCGAGATCATCAACACATAAATCTAAAAACAAAAATCTCAAGTAAATACTATGTGAGTGAACTCCATCTCACTTGGTTACTTTGGCTAAAGAGAAAGACGAAAAAAAATATCTTTGTGGGGTTCTCTTGAAAAGAACCCTACCATCTATAAAAAGATAATAATAACAGCAATAATAATAATAATAATAATTTGGCTGTAATAAAACTATAGATACATTATGCTTTGGTCACTTAGAAATTTTGATCTGTGGTTCATGTCTACTCAGAAAATTTTGTAGAATGGAACGCAGTCCATTAATACTGATTTTACTTTTGCAATAAATTTTTTAGAGGTAAACCTACTGCAAAAATCTGGTGGAAATAAACTATAAAAAGTTTTTCAGTACAAAAACATTTATGATAATGATAAAGATAATTTTAATAATAATAATAATAATAAATAATAATACTTATAATAATAACAATAACAATATAAAGTCACCTGACACAAATTTATATTCTTAATTATATATTAAATATAAAATGATGTCAAACTCTGCATTAACTTTTCTGCTGAAAATCTAGATGCAATTTGACAGAAATAAGGACTTGCAACTCTACTTATCAGAACATGAATACATTTGGATAATTTGGTCTAATTCTTAGACTCAGAGTATAGAGAAAATATGGATTAATTTCTATGTATTATTTGGTTCATCTACATTATATATCACTTTCGTTTGAGACACAGTGTGTTGGAAGATATGACAGTATGACTACGGTTAAGCCCTAATTAAAACTTCCACTTGACAAGAGACAGGTGATTAACTGACCTGACACAACCAAGAAAAACGGATACACGTCTGTTCACATCACAAAAATTAGTTTTGACGATGAAAAGTTCACTTATCAGTGGCAACAGGGATATTATCCTTAATCCCTTGTTATTTTCACCTTTTTCAATCTTCTTCAAAAAAGACAACGAAGAAAGCACACCATGGATACTCGCACTGCATTGATTCGAGATCCCTATGTTCCCGTGAGAAGTGGACCACCTTGAGTGTAATAATTTTCTTAAATTTGAGAAAAAAGATGTAGCCTTCAATTACAATACCATGGTGATATACACATGTATACTACCAATTTCCATTCACATATGATGTGGCAAACAAAGGAGCACCAATGCCTCATGCACAGGCATTTCCTTAATCAGTGGGGCCTCATCTGAATATCTTTATCTATGTATACCTAGATTAAATGAAAGAAAAAGAAAAGAAAAGGATGTCTCCATTATTAATACTACTAATGTTGTTGCTGCTGATTATGCACAAGAAAATGCATATCAAGAAAATACAGGAATTAATGATCCTCAAAATAAGAAACAGATTTAGACTACATAATCTCGCTCAGAACCAGCATCTTCCGGCACATGGGGAGGCTGTTTTGGCAGCGAGGAGGCAGCAGGGTTGCAATTGACCACATCAACTGCAATCTGCACAGGACCCGGGGGACTGCCTTGGGACGTTGCACTGTGGTTGCTTGCTAGGCTTGTTGTATCTGTTCAAGAGAGTTCAATTATTAAGAGGAAGTTGTTTCTGTGACACTGAACCTCATTGAAAAATATCCCAGTAAAATTCTTTTCCTTCATGGATTTTTTCCCCTAAAATCAAAATTAAGCCTTTACTTTTGAATGTCATTATAACATGTATATCAAGTTAGCCTATGCTGAGAGCAGCTGCTCTTCCAAGGACACATGTCAAGCATCTATATTCTGTCTGATCCCAGTTTATTGGCTTTTGCCATGCAGACTTTGAACTATGGTGGCTGGATAATTTTGCATATAATAATAATGATGATAATAAAAATAAAAATAATAAAATTATAATAATAATAATAAATACAAATCAAATAAAACATATGTGTCCATTGCCACAGGTAACATGGGCTACCATGTTTATGCATAGCCCTTGAATTTAAACCTTTCAGTATTTTGGCAAGTGTAGAGGCACTCTGTTTAACTGATGAATAACTTTTTAGACCTCTCTCAGTGGTGCTACAAAGAAAGAAAGACAGAAAGAAAGAAAAAGAAAAAGGAATGAATCAAAGAAAGAAAGAGAAATAAATAAATAAATAAACATATAAATAAAAAAAAAACAAATTCAGCTAAATAGAATGCAAAGAACCTTACCTGTGTGCCCTGAGGATCGCCCAGCACCATGAACAATAACACTAACACTAGGAGGTTCATGCGGTGATCCCATCCTGTCATCCTCTCCGCTCTCGCTCTCCTCTCCCCTCTTGGCACCAACTCTTTTTCTATCATCTGTACGGAAGAGCAACAGAATGGGACAAATCTAAACACATCTGTAAAGCTCTAATTATGAGACCTAACTCTTTCTATCCTGTCAAGGCCTGACATCTTTTATGAATCCTCCCTTCGGAACTCTGGCAGTACCAGTGATATTTGATATAGGCTAAAAACACTGACCCACCAATGTTACTCTAAAAGCTTACCTTTATCCTAGCCACTCTTCACATTAATTCTACATTATATTTCTAGTTTCCACTGTCATAAATGAGTCCTATGCCTGTCATCATGACTGGCTCATAAAAGTAAATCCTTGATTTCTCATAACATTTCATACCATCAATAGAATCCAAGAAGGAAAATAAAAAAGATGCAGACATGATAAAAAAATATATCAAACAAGTAAATAGATAAAAAAATACAAACAAATAAATCCAAACTTACCCATGTTCTGTTCGGACTCTGCTCTAGCACCTTCTCCTTCTTCTTCTTCCTGGTAATCCTCGTCATCTTCATCCGTCGACTCTGCTAGACGCTGATACCCCTCTGGTCCACACTCTATGTTGCGGGAACTGGCTCTTCTCCTTCTTCGCTGTCGTCTCCTTTCCTCTGCCAGGCGCTCAGCTTCTTGGAACGGATTTTCCTACAGATATAAAACCAAAAGTCTGTCTCACTATGCTGAAATTAAAAATGTTCATTTCACAAGATAATGACAGCTCAAAATCCCAGTAACAGGGTCTCACCATAGAAAAAAATGTAACGTCCTGTCAACTAACGTGTGCCACTTTTCAATGTGTACAAAGATAGTAATGAGTGTATAGTATTTGTTCAGCATGTTGTACCATTTGTGTCCATGGATTCAGGGTGGTTTTCTACTTACTTTGAAGTTAACAGTTGATTTCAACTTGGGTGTAACATGTGGCGAAACAAGACTTATTTGGCACAACAAGACTGGGATAATGTGTCAAGGAATACTTAAGGGAACCATCTCCTCTTCTCTTCTCTTCTTTCCCTCCCCTTTCCTCTCCTCCTCCTCCTCCTTCTCCTCCTCCTCTCTCCTCTCTCCTCTCCTCCTCTCCTCCTCCTCCTCCTCCTCCTCTTCTTCTTCTTCTTCTTTCAGGGGTGGGACAATTTTTGTCTACACAAATAACACAACATGAAAGAGTAAAAACAAACTTGAAAATGAGCTGCTCAAATTACACAGACCCACCCACACCCACACACACACGTATGCACGCTAATGGGGATAACATCACTAAATTCACATACCCTTTGTTGATTGAAGGTTCCCCCCTGCGTGCCTCCATCAGAGTTTATAAGAGGGCTACTTTCATCCTCCGAGTCACTCTCCAGGTCTGACGGCCTTTCATCCCCCGTGAAAACCTTTCTCTTGCAGACTGGGCAGACTCGGCGGTTCTTGGTCAGCCACGGGTCAATGCACTTGGTGTGGTAAGCTGGTGGTATGGAGAGCATATTGTTGAAAACTGCTTTGAAATTGGAATGTGTACCTGAAAATCACAAATCCCACATTCCCATAACTACCCTCAAAACTGATCAAAATAATCATGAACACACCATAAAAAAGGTTGCAAATGCATGAAAGCTAACCGTGAGAACAAGGCAATATGCGTAGTTTGTCGTTGTCGACATAATCCTCTAGGCAGACAGCGCAGCATTCATATGGGTCGCCTTTCTTGAATTTGTGCACAGGCAGCTTTTTCAGGGCTCTGGAAGAGAAGGCTTGGTTAAATCTCGACGGTAATCTCGCACACACTTGACAATCTGTTGATTAGGGAGAGGTCAAAAATGAGATAAAATAGATAAATAGATAGATATAGAGATGAGAGTGAGGGGGAGGGGGAGAGAGAGAGATAGAGAGAGAGAGAGAGAGAGAGAGAGAGATAGAGATAGATAGAGAGAGAGAGAGAGAGAGAGAAGAGAGAGAGAGAGAGAGAGAGAGAGAGAAAAGAGAAGGAAGAAGGAGATAGAGAGAGGAGAGATAGAGATAGAGAGAGATAACAGAGAATAAGTAGAAGAGAGAGGGGAGTATGAAAGAGATGGAGAATAGAAGAGAGATATTAGAGAGATAGAGTAGAGAGGTAGAGAAGAGAAGTGAAGAGAGAGAAGAGGAGAGAAGATGAGAAGTAGATGGAGATAGAGTAGAGAGATTGAAGATGAGAGGAGATAAAGATGAAGAAAGAGAGAGAAAGATTGAGAGGAAATGAAGTGAGAGAGAAGAGTAGAGCTGATGATATATATTTATATATATAAGAATAGAGAATGGAGAAGACGAGTAAGAGAGAGAGAGATATAAAGTAGAGAGAGAGAGAGAAGAGAGTAAGAGAGAAATAGATATATAAGAGATGAAGAAAGAGATGAATATAATTATATGAAAGAGAGAAGTAGAGAAGAGATAAAGTAATGAAGAGAGAAGATAGAGTAATATATGAAGTAAGATATTAAGATAGAGAGTAATGATAAATATATTACGATAAGAGGTTTTGAAAAAAAGGAAGTTATAGAAGAGAAAGAAGAAATCACAAATGACAATAATGGAAAGAGAAATTATGAGACACAAGAAAGTTACACAAGAAGAGAGAGATGAGAGAGATAAAAGGAGAGAGAGAGAAAGAGCCAAAGATCCACAGAGAGAGAGATCACAGAGGAGAGAAGAGTAGGAAAGAGAAAGAAGGAGAAGAGAGAGAGAAAAAATCAAATTGACCAGAAGAGAGAGAGAGAGAGAGAGAGAGAGACAGAGAAGAGAGAAGGAGAGAAGAGAGAGAGAGAGGAGAGAGGGGACCGACCCGAAGATGAGTGCGACGATAGCCAGCAGGCGAAAATCCAGACGGTCCGAAACGAGAGAGTCCTAAAAAGACAAGAAGAGAGAATAGAGAGAGAGAATGAGAAAGAAGAAAATTAAGAGCTAGCGAGAAGAGCACAGATATAGTATTGAGAGAGAGAAAGTAGATTGTAGAAGCACGAAGAGAAGATGGACGAGAGGAAGGAGATGAGAGAGAGAGAGGAGAGAGAGAGAGAGAGGAGAGAGAGAGAGAGAGAGGCATGTGACAGAGAGACAGAGAGAAGGGCGAGAGAGGAAGCCTAAGAGCCCCGGGAGAAAGATCGAGAGAGCCATGAATAAAGAGAAAGTCAAAAGGCAGCCAAGATAAAGAGAGAGCAGCGACGAAATACAAAGGAGAAAAAAAGAAGAGAGAGAAGATAAAAAGAGAAAAAAAAAAAGAGAAAGAAAGAAAAGAGAAGATGAGTCGACCCCGTATCGAGAACAATGTATGTAGGACACGATGAAGCAGAGGATAGAGTACAGGACTAGATGTACATAAGAGTATGAAATATAATCGGAAAACTATGTCATCTCTCAAAGAATTGGCAATAATATATAACTAATTTTTATTAAAAAACAGAGTTGATAAACATTATATTACAGTTACTATATTGTAAAAGAGGTGTAGACCAGGATACGTACCTATGAATCGTTGCCAGACCAACATACGTGGAGAAAATACTGCAAAATAAAAAAGATAAAATATAATCAGTCATGCACCTATATCTACAAAGAGACATCTTGAGACCTTGTAGTTCTGAGAAGCTTATGAAAAAGAGCAACTTCTCTTTTACTAGGAAACTTATCGAGTGACCAACCATATATATAAATACATGAACATTAAAAATCACGCAGAGCGCGGCCATATCATACAGAAATCAGCACAACCTTAGTGTCCCTATTTGCTACTCTCCTAACTTCATCTTTTCTTGGCATCGCTGCGATACATGCATATTCATACTTTTTTTCCTCTCATCTAAGTGTAACATCTTTGGGCTTCGACCACACTATCATTCTCCGGTCGCTCCTTCTCCTTTCTCTGTCTCCGCGGCATAAACACAATAACGGATGAACTCTTTAACCAAAAGTAATCGACCAATACTGCGGATATAATTTTTAGATAAAAAGCTTTCAATGCTACTCAACCTCTCACAGTACTACAATACAGATGAAAAGGGCAATAATATGATATAGGCAATATAAAAGAAACAAATTAAAAAGCCCTCACACAAGCTCGGCTCTAATCAACCTTACAAGCAAATCCATGCCCATTTTCGCTGTCATTTCTCTCTTATCATTATCTAAACACTTAAAACCTGTTGATGCTAGGACCTTTTACACCGCATGCACTATTCAGTAGGTTTTGCTCCATCACTTTACTCTTGCTTGCACATAAATATGACTAAAGAAGCGCCAAGTCCACCAAAGAAATCACCTTTGGTTAGTCCATCACCTGCTAATTTCGAGACCAAAAAAGTATATTTTTATTATCATATCATTATTATCCAAGAGAAGTTAACAATAAATGGATAATAACTAAAAATGCATTCTATTTGGTAATTCATATTGGTAATTATAGTAACAAACAAAAAATTGCAAGAATTGATATGTGTTAATAACAGTAATTATAGCAACAAACAAAAACTTTCAAGAAATTCAAGGAAAAGGGTAAAACAGGTGAGACCGGTCACGACTCAGTAGACAAAATTGACAAAGTGCTGTTGAGGCCATCAATGTATAAACCAAATTAATGAAACAAAACCACCATGGACAGGACATGTACCCAACATCACTGGCTTAAAATCACAGGTACCCTCACTCACTTCCTGCCCGAGAGCTATGCATTACACTACTGTCTAACCAGATTTACAAAGCAATCTATTTCTCTGATAAGGAAATTCTTTAGCTGCAAATACGGCAACGGTAACATCATCATATCATACCATGGTAATGAAAAACGATATAAGTAAGCCCAACATGAGGGCAATGTAGCCTAGTATATAAGGAGTCCAGTCGACATTTGGGCCCGAGAATGGTCTAAGAATCAGCTGATAGACCCTTTCGTGCATGAAAGATAAGTTTTTCAAGTTAACCATACCATGCAGAGCTAAAACTTGCATTAATTTTTAATAGTAAAAAAAAAAAAAAAAAAAAAAAAACAACAAAAAAAAACATTCATAGTAGTAATAGTAGTACTAATAATACTGAAAAAAAGACAAACAAACAATAATAATAGTAATATCAATAATAATAAATATCATCACTGATAATAGTAATAACAAAGTAAAAATAAAATAAATAGGAATCACAAAAGTTCAAAAGAAAAGAAAAGAAAAATACAAAGATGTATATGTAATCACTAAATCCATAACAAGCTTCAAAGCTACTACATTCCTTGGTACATTATGGTTTATCTTTTATGTACTTCTAAAAAAACAATGACTGCATACACAAAAGGAAACTTCGAGATAGGAATAAGAATAAGATAAAGAAGAAGAATAAGGAGAAGAAGAAGAAGAAGAAGAAGAAGAAAGAAGAGAAGAAGATGAAGAAGGAGAAGGAGAAGCAAGAGAGTGAGAAAAAGAGATGGAAAGGAGAAGAAGAAGAGAAGGAAGAGAGAGATGGAAGAAGAATCTTTACAAGGAAAAAATAGTTCATAATTAGCTAAAAAACGAACATCTGCTCATCAAACAATCTTCTTCACTCCATACTACTCTACCCTACAATCATCCAAGGCAAAAAGGCCAAAAAAAACATGAAATCAAAGCTAAGTCAAAACATTATGCACATCACTTACAACACTACTACCATAAAGTGAGCATTACTATAAAGCAAATTCCTATGGTAATGGCAAAGGGAACCAGGTAGTTTTGCAGGTTGAAAGGCAGGTCATCGGTTATCTCCAAGGTGTACCTACAGGGGGTGTAGCAAAAGGTAATTAGATGGCTGGATGGCGGGTATGAACTAATACCACTGCAAAGAACCGTATACACAGCAAAGAAGGGGAAATTACCAGTACCACAGGCCTAAATAAAGCAGAATTCATGTCGAACACCCTTGTTTAGGGTAAAAATTTGAGATGGACAATTTCCGTACAAATATTTTGAAACATCTGTTGTTTTCTCTCCAATAAAAACAAGTTTGATTCTCAAATGTATTCCATGTTATAATTAATGAAGTCTAATATCACAAGAGGTTAGTGCTGTCTATCAACAAACAAAATCAAACTGCTCTTCATTAGCTGGCTTCTGAAATCTGTCAGCTTGCTTAAGGTAATTCTTTTTTTTTTCACTCTCAATCTCTCACACTCTCTCTCTCACCTTCAATCTCACTCACTCACACTCACTCTCTCTCACCTTCAATCTCTCACTTTCTCTCTCACTCACTCTCTCTCACCTTCAATCTCACTCACTTTCTCTCTCTCACCTTCAATCTCACTCACTTTCTCTCTCTCTCTCACCTTCAATCTCACTCACTTTCTCTCTCTCTCTCACACTGGTCCAATATTACTTCATAAAAAAAAACAATGCATTCTAAATGTCCCTAACAATTG